GTCAGGTGATTGTCATAGATATATACACTAGATATCGAATACGGACCCTGAGCATGCGTCCATACCACCGCCACATTTGTACAGTTCTCCCAGGACATATGTCGTTCAAACGCACTAGTCATGACTAAAGCCAATGTGAAGATGCTGGACTTTTGCACTGTGTACAGGTTTAGTAAGGAACAAAAAAAGAAAACAAAGCAAGGCATCACATTTCAAGTTTTTGTATGTTTCTTTTGTGCTATTATTGATGATAATACAGTCTCTTACTGCATTGACTATAAGGCAAAGTAGCACCAACTTGCACTACAGTCTTATGCTAGTTGTGTTGAAAAAAAATCAGCAAACATGTAAATGAAATATGAAAGCAAGACGCTGCACTGCCAGAAACTTGTATTATTGACGGCTAAATAAAGTAACGGCTAGTTTATGAAATAACTTATAAGGGTGCCTGATAATAACAGTGCCTGCCAATTACAGTGCCTGCCAATACAATTTAGATCAGGAAGGTGGATTTGCACATTGAGACACAGGGATCTCGATGGTGCACGAGTCTTCCATACCAGTGATTCATTCACAAAGAAAATGCTCCCTCCATTAGAATGAGAAGTGAAAGCAGGAGAGGGGGTGTGTTTCAGGACATGGATTATATCAAATTTAACAGGGAGGGAGGATAATATACATCTCCATGCATACAAACACATACTCTTTGTCAGCAATGCCCATGTGCTTACTTTTCCATCAAATGAAAAGTAATGTTAAATTATCATTTTCATGATTTAAAAAAACAAATTGCACACTGACCATGGGGAAAACTCCTAATGATAGATATATGTATAAATGTTTACATATCTATGGCTCCAGATGAGCAGTCCTACACTGCACCCTGGTTCCACATTCATTTCAAAGGAGTACTACACTGTACTCAGGGCTGGAGCAAGCTGAACTGCCGCTCTAGGCAAAGGACGATCAAGCCGCCCTCAACCCGAAAGTGAAAAGAGGTGCCTAGGTTGCCTCTATGGACGGGCCGGCCCTGCCTGTACTAAAATGGCAGCTCTTTTGATGCATTCCTTCCAATAGACAACAACAGGGTAGCCGACATCTACTGTAAATATGTATGGGTGACTGTTAAGACAAAAAAACTTTTAAATGTTTTGTAAAATTAAATTTTAAAAAATGATGTTTTAAAGATATCTATAATTTAGTGTGCTTCAAAACAGTGGCAAAGTATGCGTTAGAAAATATGAAACTGATATAAGCATGTAAAGCTTGTAGTTTGTCAATTCCGCCTAAATGGATCAACATTTTTTTCCATGTCACCTCATACTTCAGTTACTCATCTAATCTTCAGACCAATCAAATGCTCTCTAGTATGCCCCACCCCCTTCGAGACACTTTTTGAGCTAAGATTAGGTTAAACATCAAATAATGATACTAAAAAACACAAAAAAATCTAGAGCACATCACACCTGTATTGGTTTCTCTACACTGGTTACCGATCCAGAATAGAATTCAGTACAAAATACTGTTGTATGTTTTTAAATCCCTTCATGGCCTGGCCCCTGAGTATATTTCCGAGCTAATTAATATACACCAACCCATGAGATCTCTTCGCTCTAAGGATCAACTCTATTTGCAAGTTCTGTGATCAGGCTTGAAATGTTGAGGTGATAGAGCTTTTTCACTCGCAGCTCTAAGACTTCGGAACAATCTTCAACTCTCCATAAGAACATCCAAACTTTTGAGTCCTTTCAGAGGTCACTAAAAACACATTTATTTTCTTTAGCTTTTAATCAGATGTTGTAACAATAATAATATAAATATAATAATTCTTTACATTTATATATATTTATCTAGACACTCAAAGAGCTTTTACAGAATGGGGACAATCTCCTCATCCACCACCAGTGTGTAGCGCCCACCTGGATGACACAACAGACTGCTGGCCTTACTAACACCACTTGCCGCAGCAACCTAGCTTTCCCATGTGGTCTCCCATCCAGGTACTGACCAGACTGTAAGCTGTCAGTGGTTGTGAGTTTATGTACTTATGTAGGTTGGTTGAAAGTGCTCTAGAAAAAAATTTGTTGAGTTTATTTTAGTTTGACCATTACTTTATAAAAAAAGCTATTAAAAATAGCTTTTCTCTATGGAAATGTTGTATGGCAAGATATATCACTATGAAATAATCAACAACCATATTATGTATTTCTCCAGTATCTTGCAGCCCTTATTCACACAACCACTAAACACCATTGTGCTAACACACATAAAATGAACGCAATAAACGTCATTTATCAAAATTAGACGTAACATGAATCTATACTGTACATAACTGATGAGATAAAGCTAAAAAGAACCATAATAATGTCAAAACAAACACAAACAAACGTGCAAGGAATTTAAAGTCAATTTATGGTTATTCACTGTATATTTTAAAGACACTTACTAGCAGATTTTTACTATGGTATTTTAGTTGTTGTTTTACCTTTGAAATCACTGTCATTTTTACAGTGTAAACATGCTGCTATAAATGTATCTCTGGGTGTTGGCTCATGCAGTCTAGCTAGAGTGGCTGCACACCATCACTACTTCATCATTCATGACATCTACAGAGCCACTTAGGGTGACCTGGGAAAATCAATGAACAAATTATTGATGAAGATATGGTCAAGTGAGCAGCGCTCCTTCTCTTCGCAACCCAGCAGGAGAAATGGCTGCTGTAAAAGCTCACACTTAATATTTAAGGCCTGAACATAATCTTTATCTGAGACTATCAAATAGTAGAGAAGGCTGAAATAAGCCTCTTATTTATGAGATCAGTGTTCATATGATGAGAGGGAGACAAGTATAACAATTTTGCTTAAGTTTAATCTTCTTATGGATATTGTTATCTGACAAACTATAGGCTAGGCTTTCCTTAATGTATTGTCATCTGATTATGTCATAACGTGTCACTAATACTACATTTGCCACATGTGAACGGTGCATTTTTATGTTCTCTCATAAATGCTCCAAGTTTGTTTTGTTTCTAAATAAACTCAACCCGAGTATTCAGATTATATACGATTTGTATACATACAGTACATACGATATGTTTCAGTTCATACTGCACATGGCTTTGCTGTTTATTTTGTTTCTGGATAAAGAATATAGCATTTGCTCTAAATGAAAATATAATTATGCGTATAAAACGTTATATTTGTTTTATTCTGTATTAGGGCTGCACAATATATCGTTTCAACATCGGTATTGCAATGTGCACATCTGCAATGTTGAGTCTGAATTATAGCTGACCAGGAGCCAAAGAACACATCTAGTTTGTAGCATCACTGCTAAGTTTACACAAAGGTCTTTTTCATTTCAATTTTTTTTTTTGAATGTTTGCAGGTGTAACAGATTGTATTTAATTATTTATACAATTCATGCAAAAAAAAAATCGTTTCTAGCCCAAATATCTACATTTCAAAATGAAAATAAGACTATTTTAATAACCACATTGGCAAACAATTTAGCATGCTTTGAGGAAAAAATCCTAATTTTAATTTATATATATATATATATATATATATATATATATATATATATATATATATATATATATATATATATATGATTATTATTTTTTTTGCATTGTAAATATTTCATTTTTGTTCCATATTCCAATTATGTTGTGGATTTGTATTCATTTTGCAATATTTAATCGCTGAAAAATAAAATATATTGCAATATCAGATTTTTCCAACATTGTGCAGCCCTATTCTATTCAGCCCTATTATATTTCTTCCTAATCTAATTTAAAATAATAAATTTAGATACTAATGTAGATTTTAGATAATAAAACATGCTAACAAATAACTTGTGTAATAAGTGTTAAGAAAACAATATTCGGTGCAATAGCTGATTTTCAACCACAACAAACAAACAAACCTAACATACCATATCAAACCTAATAAATCCAGTTAAACAGATTTTTTTTCACAGCAGAATGTGTGTATATACGGGAAAAGAGGGTTAAATTACTGATAGAAAAATGGTTTACATCGCATGGCATAATTTCATCTAAAATAGCATAATTATTTTATTAAACTGTTGGACTTCTCTGTAAATTAGCATGATGCAACTAGCATGCATGTTGTCATGTTAAACACTCTTATTATTATCATTTGGTTGGTTTAAATCCCTTTAACTTGACGAATGGGGGTGACATGGTGGCTCAGTGGTTAGCACTGTCCCCTTTTAACAAGGTCACTGGTTCGAGTCCCAGCTGGGCTATTTGGCATTTCTGTGTGGAGTTTGCATGTTCGCATGGGTTTTCTCCGGGTGCTCCGGTTTACCCCACAGTCCAAACACATGCAATATTGGTGAATTAGATGAACTAGATAGCTGTAGTGTATGTGTGTGTGAATGAGTGTGTATGGGTGTTTTACAATACTGGGTTGCAGCTGGAAGAGCACCCTTAAAATATATGCTGGATAAGTTGGTGACTCATTCCGCTGTGAAGACCCTTGATTAATAAAGGGACTGAGCCTTGGCATCCTTATTTGTCATTGATAAACATACATAGGCTATGTATTTTAATTTTACACAAATTACAGTGCTTTAATCATAATTGAATTTTAACAATTATAATCTATCAGCATGTGTACTTTGTGCACAGCAATGTTAAAGCACATTTTCTTGGTAAACAAACACACCCTGTGCCTCTTTTACAGATGTGACAGGTAGATTCAATTCAGGACCTCGGATAGCGACAGAGATCAGATTCAGGCCTTCCACGTTTCCTCTTCTGTTTACATTGTTTAACATCACAACTCACCACATTGCTTTAGTAAAACACCTACACCTGCGAGAGCGGGTACAACAACATGAACAACCAAACCAAACACGAAAATTATCGTTGGATAAACGTGCACATCCTTTCCCTTGTAAACAAAACGGCCTGAAACGAGGCTCCAGCGGCAGACAACAAGGCAAGCACCTGAGCACAGAAGACAGCTCACCGTTCAAAATGAGATCCTCGGTCTGCAGGTCAAAGCCCTCGCGGTGGCACTTCCTCCACAGCCCGGAGATGGTGGAGTTGAACTGGCGGCTGCAGTGAGACTCCATCGCCGTGGCGGACGCCGGGATGTGCCGCTTCACGCGCGGTTCCGTCGCTTTCCTCTCGTAGCCCTTCGGTGGCATCTGGAGCGGCAAGTTGTGATTTGAGATGTAAATGTATCCGGGATCGTTACGCTTGTTTGCGTAGTTCTTACAGCGCTCTCGGTGCCGCCGAGCATCCGTCTCGTACCAGTAATCGGTGCAGATGGCCATAGCCAACAAGACCAGAGCGCAAAACGCCAAGAAAAGCCCCGCGCTGGTTAAAATCTTAATGGCGGCCATCTTCTCCTCTCGTTGGAGAGCCTAGAAAGACGCGCGGTCTTCCCTCGGCAGCCGTTGTGAAAGGCGAATGAAGAAAAACAAATAAACACACACACACCGATTTCTAGCTGCTCTCGGACGCGGGCATGACCAGGCGCGACTCCGGCTCAATGCGATCTATTGTTGCGGCTCGCGCGGGCAGATGTGCTGTTTTTCCACCATCTGTTTTGTTTTTGAGGGAGAGATGGGAAGAGGAGAGGAGAGGACCAGTGCTGAGCGAGTGCTGCTCGGTGTGAGTGCAATGCTCTCTCTATCCTCTTGGGCCTCGGAGAACTGAGAAGAGACCAATTAGGATGCTCAGGAACAGGAGGAGTGGAGATAAACATGAGAGGAGCGTTTATTGATTACAAACTCCAGAACAGCATCACAGTCGAGAGCAGATGCTCACATATTACTGCAGGAATATATACTGTATAAACTCGTCGATCTTTTACTCTAAACATGCTAAACCTTTAATTGCTTGGGATATTGTACTAAATAAATCTTCAGTAGGTTTATTCATAACACTTTACAGTAAGTTTAAGATTAAAGTGCTTTAATTTTTTTATTAAATCAATTGAACTATAAAAATAATTTCAACTTATAACTACAAATACAAATTAGTTGAAACATAACTAATTTAAATAAATAACCTACTTTGGCATGCAAACATTTTTACATTTATACTAAACAATTGTTAACATTAGTAAACATCATTAAAATGTAAACAAATGCGGCATTTATTAATACCTTAATTAATTGTGAACTAAGAAGAACAATTTCTTTTTATAACATTTACAAAACTGAAACTGTAAAATATCAACGTACTGTCTAATGTTAACAAATTAACATTATTTTAACCCACTGTGGTAATTATGTGTTTGTGAAAATATAACAGTAATACAACAATTAACAATTAAAACATTAAAATACTTGTCAAGATATATAAATCGAAAATAAATGTTATGGCACACATGGAGCAACAGTTTTCTTAATTCAAATGTTATGCCAATTGAATTCTAAGAATAGTTGATACAATTAATATCTTAAAACTGTATTTTTTCCAAACAAATAATATCTGTAATTTAAAAAAACTGATACACTTCCTTTGATTATAAACAGTATTGCTCCTCCTCAGAGATGAATGTAACAGGCAGAAAAAAATCATCAAAATTTTCTTTTGCTGAAAAAAAAAAGAGCGATATTAGCACATTCAGAAAATAAATAGAAGTGAACAGAAAACTGCTCAAGGGAAGCTCCCAGAAGACAGTAACGTTTCCTGCCCACGTAAATGCAAGACTGTTTTCTGAAACATTTCCAGCAGTAATAAATAAAACAGAACAAATCTTACTTGCATCATGAGAGCTGAGAAAGTACTTGCGTTAGGGTGTCATTTAGACTGAGCAGGGGAGTAAAAAGTATAATTATATTTATTTTAGTCAGTCTCAAATATTAATGTCTGGTCAAAATTTACGCGACTGACAGTACGTCTAACTACAACTTTATTTAAAAAAGGTGAAAATTAAAAAAATAAATAAAAATAGAGGTTCTTGTTAGATCATACTGAACCAACTTGCAAAATAAAACAAATTGCAAATTTTTTTAATTATTTAATTTTTTTGACAGAGATAGAAAGGTTTGGTCAAAATGGGAAAATCAAAACAATTGTATTGGTCAAACACATGCACTACCTGACACATGTCTTGTCGTTGATCCCAGTTGTAAGATCAACAAATAATAACTTGCCTTCGGTTAATCATTTGGAAAAGTGGCAGAAGGTAGATTTTTCAGATGATTCATCTGTTGAACTGCATCTCAATCACCACAAATACTGCAGAACATGCACTGAAACCTGCATGGACCCAAGATTCTTATAGAAATCAGTCAAGCTAGGTGAAGGAAAAATCATGGTTTGGGGTTACATTCAGTATGGGAGATTGTGAGAAATCTGCAGAGTGGATGGCAACATCAACAGCCTGAGGTCTCAAGACATTTGTGCTGCCCATAACATTACAAACCACAGAAGAGGGCACATTCTTCAGCAGGATAGCGCTCCTTCTCATACTTCAGCCTCCACATTAAAGTTCCTGAAAGCAAAGAAAGTCAAGGGGCTCTAGAATTGGCCAGCCTAGCCACCAGACATGAACATTATTGAGCTTGTCTGGTAAGATGGAGGTGGCATTGAAGATGAATGCAAAGAATCTTGATGAACTCTGGGAGTCCTGCAAGAACGCTTTCTTTGCCATTCCAGATGACTTTATTAATAAGTTATTTGAGTCCTTGCAGAGATGTATGGATGCAGTCCTCTAAGCTCATGGAAGTCATACACAATATTAATCCTTTCCCACTGCACCATGACTTTATATTCTTTACTGGATATTATTTCTTTTAAGTGACAAAGACTTTTGTTTAAGCAAAGTCAGACCTCACTGTCCTAATTAAATAATTTTATTTTGGTGAAATAAGCGTAATCATGAGGCCTTTGTCTTTCATATAAGCCACTTCTGATACCAAATGATTCACTAGAAGTCAAGTTATGTTGTTCCTAAAACTTGCATAAGTGACAAGACTTTTGTCAGGTAGTGTACAGTGCAAATCAATTAATCAATGACCAATAAATAAATAAATAAATAAATACATAAAAAAGAAAAAAGAAATCGTACAAATAAAAATAACACCATAAGTTGCATGAAATATTTCACGGCTTATAAAACTTTTCCAGGCATCTCTTCCAGTTCCTCCCCAATACAACAGCATTATCCTCCATCTTTACTCACAATCAGGTAAACTCAACTCTTTTATTAATACTTGTGTGCACTGTAGCAGAACTAACCTGCCACCTGCCATACATGGAGACCCACAGAGAAGAAGAGGAGTTTCAGGAGGCGTGCAGGAGCTTCAGGTCAACATGCAGCAGAATAAATCATGTTGGTACAACCAACCGCATTTAAGCTGCCCATCAGACGCTATTTTGAAGGACAAGACATTAAAAGCTTTGGAACAGAAAAAGTGCCATCTCGTTGTCTGAAGTTGCAGGCGGTTTCCCACACACAGTGGGCTCTGTCAGGGCAGATGACAAAGGAAGACAACCCACAGGCTAGTCGTTATGGCAACGGTCCCTTGCCAAACAGACTGTGTTGAAATAGGACAAGTGTGAACACAAAATCAATACCACCCCCTGATTCCCATATGACATTTCAGACCCAGACTGCGCAGTAGAAATGTGCTTGTGGCACGTATCTTGGCATAGACAACACTGTTGCAGAGCAGCTACTTTGAACACAAAGAGCAGCCGGCAATACCAGCCATTAGTGAGTATGACATACCCTAGTGAAAAATGTGAAGATCTTGCAGAGCGAGACAAACACACTGCAAATAAACTGTGTAGAATTGTCAAGCCACAGAGGGACTGCAGCGGGAAGCTCATGAATAAAACTAGCTTGACTTGTCATGGAAGCCCAATCTTGAGTTGGGGTCCTAAATTGTGCACTCAAACATCTTGTGTACTTTGTGCTTTTGTTTCAAAAAGCATTAAGCCATGGTCAAACTGCACTTTTCGCCCCATTGACTTCCATTCATACGCATACGAGTGCACCAGACCAGAAACACAAGCTTGTGTGACAAGTTTCATGTTGATGCATTTCTAAAGTTCAAGCTTGGTTAAGTTTCACCTGCAAATTCGCATCACTTAAATGCGTGAGACCATAGAAGATCAAAAAGTGACCTCTACACTACCTGACAAAAGTCTTGTCATTGATCCCAGTTGTAAGAGTCACAAATAATAACTTGACTTCTAGTTGATCATTCGGTAAAAGTGTCAGAAAGTTTTTTTTTTTTTTACTGATGAATCATTTGTTAAACTGCATCTTTATCATCTCAAATACTGCAGACCTATTGGAACCCGCATAGACCCAAGTTTCTCACAGAAATTAGTCAAGTTTGGTGAAGGAAAAAATCATGGTTTGGGTTACTTTCAGTATGGGGGCGTGAGTTCTGCAGAGTGGATGGCAACATCAACAGCCTAAGATGTCAAGACATTTGTGCTGCCCATTACATCACAAACTACAGGAGATGACGTGTTAAGTGCTTTGAGTGTCCAGAAAAGCACTACATATATGAAAGGAATTATTATTATTATTATTATTAAACTCTTCAGCAGGATAGCGCTCTCTCATATTTCAGGCTCCACATCAACGTTTCTGAAAGCAAAGGTGATGGTGCTCCAAGATTGGCCAGCCCAGTCACCAGACATGAGCGTTATTAAGCATGTCTGGGTTAAGATGGAGGAAGCGGCCTTAAAGATGGATCCAAAGAATCTTGATGAACTCTGGGAACAGAACTCAGGTATCGCATGTCCAGAATTGTAAATTATAGTTATCAATTTTTTGTGTGTGTGTTCGAGTATCTTTATTGTACCTTTTTGAAGCACCATTCAAATTCTAGTGTGACTGCGGCACACTAGAACGGAGAAAATAAACAGTTGGATTAACTTAGAAAAACTTAGTCAAATGTTTACCTCATTAAATAATTTTTATTATTAATAATATTAAGAAATATATTAGTGTTACATTGGAACATTCTTTTCAATGCTCTCTTGAAGTTGTTTCAAAAGCATTCATTTTCTTTCGGCTTAGTTCCATATTTATCAGTGCTAACCACAGCAAAATGAACCACCAACTATTCCGGCATATATTTTAAACAGCAGATGCCCTTCCAGCTGCAAGCCAATATTGGAAAACACCCATACATACACACTCATGCACCACAGCCAATTTGTTTACCCAATTCGCCTACGTGTATACCACATTTGTACCGTCCCTGATGTTAAGTGTCTAGAAGTGAGAGCAACAGTGGAAAGTTTAAAAGGTAGTTGGGGTGAGTATAGATCAGTCCTCTACCTTCACGACAACACCCCATTTTCAGTTAAAGAATTTATTAATGAAAACGTACAATGATAAAACAAAACTGGGAAGCAAAAATAGACTTCAGGAGGCAAGTGTCTGTGGACTGCAAGACAAGACTGTAAGATGAGGCTTCTTTATCAGTTTTGTCAAAACAGTTACCATACTCTGCATCGTCCCTTGTGGTTACAAATAACTGTACAAATGGCAAGCGTGTCAAGTATAAAAGCCTCCACAACTGAGGAATGTGGAGCTGTACGTTAATGATGATGGATGGGTTTAGGGTTGGGGTTGTTGTAGACGTTAATAACTATGATGGTTGAGTTAAGAGTTGTGGTAGGTATAGATGTTAATAACTGATGGTTGGGTTTAGGTGTGGAGTAGGTGTAGACATTAATAACTACAACATTATCTTGCTGACAACATGGACATGGCTCTCTTTTTTTTAAAGTTATGCCTCTAACATACAAGTTCCGCCCCTGCCTTGGAGTCCACAGACTGACTCTACTCTCAGGAGGGAAAGGGCGAACACAACAAAAAGTACACTCTTGCTAGTTAGGGAGTAAAAGTGTCTAAACATAGTGTCTGACATAGTAAATTAAATGAACAGAAATGTACACTAACTCCCTAACAAACGAACAAGAGAAAAGAATGGTAAGTGGTTTCAAATGCTTTACAACAAATTTCAACTTAAGTAAGTTAACCACCACAGCGACAATGCACTTGCACAACACAAGCAGGCAGGAGAGAGACCAGACTCTGGAAGCAAGCTTCAATGTGGCTTACAACTGGTCAGCTTTTAAGCTTGCAGGGTAACGAGCAGCAGGTGCAATTAATCTCCTCTCCTCTACACCTAGTTGAGAAAGAGGTAAATGGAGAAAGATAAAAAAGAAACAGCAATGTGCAGCTCTTCAGAGGTTGTATTCATCTAGTTTGGAAAGCAGTGTAGGTTGCTAACAGTTCAATGTGGTGCGGGATCCATAATGGTCGGGGCAGCAATCTCACGGGAGTCATTAGGCTAATGGTTCCTCTGCATGGTCATGTAGCAGCCAAGGAATAGGAGGCAATTTAGCAGGTCATGTGTAACCTATGCGTCCTCATGGTAAAAAGGCACTGGATATGCCTGAACAGTCATTCTGACATGCAAACTAGAACTGCAGAATGCTATTTACTGTAATACGTTCTATTAACTCTGATCTAATAGAAAAATACTCATTTCAATGCAGGAAAGCGTCTCGCTGGATATCCATAACATCAGTGTTGATATTTTCTAACTAGACGCAATAAAGAAAATGGTTCTGCATCTACAATAAATTGGGAATTTAAATGTTAGCATTTTATTTCCATCTGGAAAATATAATTTGTGAAAGATATGGCTGAAAATATTGGTAAGAAACACTTTCGCTAGCCCATGTTTTTTATACATTCCCCAGATTTTTAGCATGTATTTCCGGCATTCGAAAGGTATTCACACTGAATAATTGTAGTTCATAAAATAGTTGAGCAAGTTTTCATCAGTAAAGAAGAGGTTAAAGGCGTAACAGTTTAATCAAACAGAAAAACTCATTTATTTCAACTATTACAATGGGAGGAATTAAAGTTTTCAAACTTTGACATTGTTCTTTCAACATGACATTGTTCATAGAATAAATATATACATATATAATCTCTTTTAAAATATTTACATTCTGGCAAAAAAGCTGTTCTGATGTTCCAAGTCATGATTCAGAACCGTCTCTTCAGTAACGTTTCATACACAAAGGCGTTAAACACAAAATCCATTTATCATCATCTTTTTTTAAAAATCTGATTGAAATGCTTGAATTGGCACCAAGTCCACTGAGTAAAAGAACTGTGACCTTATAAATCCATAAATCCTCCAGACTATGGAGTGAGATTGGTCTCAAAAATATAATATTTACAAAATAAAATTCACACATGCATGGCACAATTCGCATTATACAAAATCCAATTTTTAAATTCAAAACAATTCATAAATTCAACAATTTGTGAATTCAAAAGCAAAAATCATGAATATTTTCGGTGAGTTGGTTTTGTGCATATATGAATTGCATTTTAAATTCACGAATTGGATTTGTATGCGTGTGCGTGTGTGTGTATATGTATATATATATATATATATATATATATATATATATATATATATATATATATATATATATATATATATATATATATGAATGAATCGTGTTTTGAATTTACGAATTTGATTTGTTAAGATATATGAATTGTTTTGAATTTACGAACTGGATTAGTGTATATGAACCGTGTTTGGAATTTACGAATTTGATTTGTGTATTTTCATATTATGTTTTGAGTTGACAAATTGGATTTGTGCGTTTATGCATTGGATTATGTAAATTTGAACCGTGCGGTTGATGTATGAATTATATTTTGGAAATGTATTATTTTTGAGATTGATTTGGCTACACACCAGTCTGGATCACTGAAATGTAATGCCAAGACCACAATGTACTATATAGACGATCAGTAAATTAAAGCTAAAAATGCAGCAGTGTAGTGGCTATTAGAACATAATTAATAATAACAACATTAAATACTGTAACAGAAGTATGCGATTAAGGAAAAACAACTTTAGTGATTGAGGAATACTACAAAAAAAGCCTGTAAATGATTTGACGTGTTTGACAAAAACAGCAAGGAATGTGTAGCCGTGCAAAGTGTGGCTGTCTTGAGCAAATGAAGTGTGAAATAAACTTGTGTAACTTTCCACAGAGTGATTTGTAACAGCGAAGTAGAATTAGCTTTATAAAACACTATCTTGATGACCATCAGAAACACAATTATGTATATTGTCTGTTAATTAGGAATGAAGTAAAACTAGCATGTGCAAATTACACTAAAGTAGCCTTTGGTAATGTAACATTGTGTCAAAAGTATCAATTTCAACAGCAGGAATATGAACCAGAAGAAAATAGGATGAAATATTAACAATAATAAAAAAAATCCACAGTCATTTCTGAGCACCATTTGTACAAATCTGTTTTTTTGTTTTCAGTTCAAATTTAATCTGGAGTGTGAAATATAAGGCTTAAAATCATATACTGGCAGATTCAAGCACCAAACTGTCAAGGCCAATTCTTTCATTAGCATTTCCTCACTTGGTCTTTGGGAGGGTGACAAAAATGTCTAAATTATTAAAGCTCAAACTGTGGAGTGAATAATCCAAAAGTCCTCAGGAATGCAAGGTTGCACTATAAATGTCCCCTGATAAAAGCAGACCTTGCCTGTGTCTAGTCCATGGCGATTGAGAGCAGAGCCATGACGCCTATCCCAGAAAACAACAGCAGAACCTGCAGAAGAGAGTTCCTGTGGGAGCAGGCAAACCGTCATGGGCAGTCAGTCGATTTAACATGTGAACAATTGCATTGTATTGTAAAAGTACTGCTTTTTTATGCAAGTTTAAAGGGGTTAGTTCACCCAAAAATAAAAATGCTGTTAATATTTACTTAGTTTCTTTCTTCTGTTGAACACAAAGGATAATATTTTTTGAGAATGCTGGAATGTGGTAGGTTCTACCTACTATAGATGTCAATGACTACTGAGGTCCGTTCTTCATACCTCGCTTAAATGATCCAAGATGATTTGACAGATGCTGGATCTTTTAATCTTGATAACTGATCTCTGGCTAATTTGGTTTTTCAAACAAGTTCACGAATCAGATTAAAAAGTCTAGATTAACTGATCTGAGACCGCTGCATGTGTTGTGAAGGACAGATCGATCAATCCTCAATCTATCAATACTTGAAATCATGATCAGCAATGAAACAATTGGTTGATGGCAAAGCAGCATAATGACATCATCTGATTAATATTCAATTATCCATGTGAGCAAAATGACAAATTACGTAGTGAACGGTTTGTTAAATATGATGTGCAAGAACTTTGTTATGGGCTGCAGACTTTACACTTTACTTTTACATTTAGTGTGGATTTTCTTTATTATAGTAGCCAAGACCTATTCAAGTTTCTTGATCGGTTTAAGGAATAACAGGCTGTTTAAATTAATTTTGCATCAAAAAAGTATTTTGATATTGGTAAAGGTGTCTGACACTTTTGCGAAGCATCAAATCACTGTCATATTAGCTGTCAAAACATGCTACATGACTGCATAAATAGCATCCAAATGTTATGTGCATGTATATTATTATACACAAATTAAATAGTATGTGTTTGCATCCAAAAAGTCCATATAAATAAATGTTCTCTTTGAACCCCTTGGGGAGAACCACTATGACTGTGACAGTTTTTTTTTTTTTTCATTTAATTTTGGGGAGCAGATTGCTTAAGTTTTAATTTATAATTTTTTAAAAACAAATTCCCAAGTGTATAACTACTACTGTAAGAAAATTTCAGACTTTGGTACACTTTCATTATTACCTTTGCTTGAAATGACCCAATCTAATCCTGAGCAGGTTTGAGCCACCAGACCTGTTGCTATGACAACAGCTCTCAAATGAGTTTTGAAGAACTAAACGATCCTGGATCATGTCAAATCATCAATAACCAAATCCAGCTAATGGAGTAATCCACGCATGAAGAATGGACCCCTAGTCTCTAACCTCCTACGAAATATATTCTTTTGTGTTCAACAGAAGAAAGAAACTCAAGCTTGTGTTTGATTGACTTGAAAGTCAGTACATTTTTTTGCATCCAGCAAACTTTTTTACCTTGGGTTGGTCTCCTCTAGAAGATCAGGAACCACATTGACCAAGGCAATGTAGAGAAAGCCACCTGAGGTGAAGGGCAGGATCCAGGTAGTGGCGTTCTCTGTGAAGACACACGAGCGAAACAAACACTGAAGTATGTATTTTACAAAAGGCTTATATAAGTAGAACACGCTGACCCTGAAAAAATGTTCAAAAATCTGGGGCTGGTCATATTTTTAAGGTTTGAAGTCTGTTATACATACCAATCCTTCATTTATTAGTAACAAAAATACAGTGATATTGTAAAACATTATTCATTTTAGAAAATTTTTTTCTCAACATAATTAAGCATAATTTACTCGTAATATGGGAAATTTGTGATTTTTGATAGAAAAAAAAATTAAAAATCAAAAATCCATTGGATAGAAATATTAATGCTGCACTAATTGCTTACAGTTTTAAAATGCAAATAAGATTTTATTGAATAAAAATAAATAAATTACAGGTTAAACGTACCCATACATAAATTCCTTAATTACATAAATATGTGATCAAACAAGTGAACTAACCATGCAAGCTTTATTTACATGATCAAAAATGTTGTTTTAGCTGTTCTGAGATGCCGGAGCCAAAGTCTGTCATCAAAATCACTTTGTTTAAATGACATCCTAGAACAATCTCAAAAGTTGTCCAATATCAAAAGGGACAGCTTACCCAAAATCAAAAATGTTCTCTCTATTTACTCTCTGGTGGTTCCAAAACTATGGAACAAAAGATTTTGATATATATATATATATATATATATATATATATATATATATATATATATATATATATATATATATATATATATATAAAAAACTATGGATGTCAATGGCTACCAGTTTCCAACATTTCAAAACATCTGTATTTAGGATAAGGAATAAAACTCAAACATGTTTGGAACAAGTGGAAGTTGAATAAATGATGACAATCATTGACAATTCAGTTTTAGATGAACCCTTACTGCAAGTATGCAATTTCAAATGAAAGATAAAACTTCATATCACAATTTCTACTACTCTTAGACAAAATTAATTACTATTATATTATTTACAATTTATTATTATTATAATATTTTACTATTTATTATTGTATTGTTTTACTTGTTCTGCAGGCAAAAAAAGAGACGAGAGTGGTTTTCCCTTTACAGCTAGTTTTTGAAAGAACATTTACACCAGTTTTCTAGGAAGTTATAATAGTTTACTCAGGAATGCTTTAAACAACTGCATCTTTATATAACAGAAATGGCTAATGGTAATGAATGGCAAAATTCCAAAGTCACTTTTGGTCAATTTAATTCATCCTTGTTGATTAAAAGCAAAATTAAAATATACAAGTTAAATTATTAGCCCCAAGTTTTTGACCAGTAGTGTATATCTGACAGATGAAAATAGTCTGATGATTGTGGCGTCTCACCTGCCCCATGCTGTGATTGAGAGCAAAGAGCAAAGCAGGCCCCCAGGACTCCCCCTAATGCTGTGGAGAGCTGCATACGGGCAGCTTTCCACCGGTCAAAGCCTGCTCGCAGCAAAATGGCAAAATCTCCCACCTTACAGAAACACAAATGAGCACACAGTATCAGAACCTGGTAAACACTGCGTACAACAAAGTTTTATAAAAAACATTTCATGTGCAGTCATTCAAAACAATACTAACAAATTATTACTGATCCAAAAGAAATGCATTATATACACACAATCTAGCAATAATTACCTGACTTAAGATATTGAGATACATACCTCATGAGGAATCTCATGAAGCAGAATGGCAAACGTTGTTAAGAAGCCAACCTGTTGAAACAAGTTAAAAAAGAAAAAAGAAAGAAAAAAATAAAAGGTGAATTTCTCAGATTAAATACACACAAAAAAACCCATAGGGATTTTAAAGTATCTTGCTCACCATTTTAAAGGATAAACTAAACTAATCTACTAGAAAGTGAATCAACACATTACAAACTTTGATTTAAAGCAAAGTTCATACACTGTTTTAGCAGGTTTGACCAAATCAAATTTAAGACTGTAATAAAAATGTCTTGCTTATAAAAGACTAAACACTAAGATTTTTTTTTCTAATGACCCAGTTAGGTCAGCGAAAAATATATTTATTTCCCCATCAAAAAAAAAAAAAAAAAAAAAAAAAAAAAAAAAAAAACTAAGGCTGCATTTAAAACCGCCTACTACTCAGTAGGTACTGCATTTTAATGTAAATGCATTACTTGGCATTAGAAAAGTAGGTTCTATACAGTATGAATGTGATTCTTCTACGGAATTCTACCGCAAGGCATCACGGGATAACGCAATGTGTATGGGATGCGCACATTAGAATCTCACTGGAGGTAGTAGGTCATCCGGGTATTTCTCGCATACAGATTTTTGAATTCTATGAATTCAGACATACTACTCAGCTCGCATACTGATTTTAGCATACTGTATAGTATAGAAGTATGTGGTTCTGGATGCAGCCTCACTCATTTATTTCTTTGATATTTCAAATAGTGTCAAAACAAGCAAACACTAGTTAAACATACACTTTTCTTTAACAGGGGTTTTAAAAAACTAAGAAATGCAATTGTTTGCACATCTGTCCATGTTCACACTATATAACCCATAAATATATGGAAAACTTGCATGTCATTGAAATAAAAATAATTAAACCATATTGGATTAATGGAGTTATAAATAGCAACATAATAGTTTGTTAAACTTTTTATTTTTTATCAAAATGGATTGAGGAGTTTAACTTTACATGGACAATGGAAAATTCAGACCCGTTTAAAAGGATTCAAGATGTTTATGGCCTGCTGGTGTAATTTTCTGTACAGCATTAGTAATATAGTGCACAAATTACACTAACCATTATAGTTTCAAGAAACAAGTTGATAACTAACTGAACAGATGGGTTTTAAAAAAGTATGTAGTCTCCATTCATCTCTCCTCAGAGTTCACAACAGGTCTGTTTGGGTTTATCAATTAAAACCATTTCCATATGGAGATTATTACACTCAATTTTAGTGCTCTTTTTATCCAACCATGCACCGAAGTCATGTTATGTTTCCAAAACCAAATAATGTTTTGTTTAACCACATATGTTTAACTGATTATCAGCAGAAGCTATGGGGGAGGCAAGCGAAAACAGTAAAATGGCACAGTTCTCCATCAATACTCTCCCTTGTATTTCTGCTGCCAAATAAGTATGTCCAGGCCAGTGAGCAAATGTGTAAAAGTGTGTTTTTATGTGCAAGTATAGTGGTTTCTGTTGCACAAAGTCCATTTCCTCTGAAACTCCCTCCCCACGCATGCTGAGAGCCTTATGCTTCTCCACCTGGACCTCAACTCAAAGCCATATAAATACTGCTGCGCTATAAATACTACACACATCACATAAACATCTAAATCTCACTGTTCGTAAGACCTACACAGATCAAAAAAACAATGAGGAATTTTAGTGTAATATTTAAACACTTAACTTTTGTACATTCTTGTGAACATTTGTATCTTTTTCCTTCTATTTCTAAAGAGATATTATGGCAAATTTTGGGAAAAAGGTACATTATGAAAACTTTCAATATTTCACCTTTTCATAAATTAATGTAACACCAAAAAAAAAAATTCTCTCTAGACCTTCAAGGACATACTCATTGGCCACTTTATTAGGTACACCTGTCCATCTGCTCGTTAACGCAAATTTCTAATCAGCCAATCACAAGGCAGCAACTAAATGCATTTAGGCATGTAGACATGGTCAAGATGATCTACTGCAGTTCAAACAAAGCACCAGAATGGGTAAGAAAGGTGATTTAAGTTACTTTGAATGTGGCATGGTTGTTGGTGCCACACGGGCTGGACTGAGTATTTCAGAAACTGCTGATCTACTAGGATTTTCACACAACCATCTCTAGGGTTTACAGAGGATGGTCAGAAAAACAGAAAATATTCAGTGAGTGGCAGTTCTGCAGGCGCAAATGCCTTGTTGATGCCAGAGGTAAGAGGAGAATGGCCAGACTGGTTCGAACTGGCCAGATTGATTCGAACTGATAGAAAGGCAACAGTAACTCAAATAACCACACATTATAACCAAGATGTACAGAAGAACATCTCTGAAGGCACAACATGTCGAACCTTAAGGCAGATGGGCTACAGCAGCTGAAGACCACACCGAGTGCCACTCCTGTCAGCTAAGAACAGGAAACTGAGGCTGCAATTCGCACATGTTCAACAAAAAACGTTGCCTGGTCTGATTTCTGCTGCGACATTCAGATCATAGGGTCAGAAATTGGCGTTGGCGTCAACAACATGAAAGCATGGGTCACCTTTGGGGGCTGAGGTGGAACGGAAGAATCACATCATCGATGTGCAGCCAACAAATCTGCAGCAACTGCGTGATGCTTTCATGTCAATATGGACCATAATCTCTGAGAAATATTTCTCGTATCTAAACCACGAAGGATTAAGGCAATCCTGAAAGCAAAAGGTGGTCCAGTTCTGTACTAGGAAGGTGTACCTAATAAAGTTGCCAGTGAGTGTGAATGTACCATTAATAAAATCCTTGAAATTCAGCATGTGTAATAAATAAACAATTTTTTCCTGTTTTCATAAGATTGTTTTTTTTTTAAATGTACGAAAGCATATTAAAGATTATGTAAACAAACTATAAAAGCTAAAATGAATAAAATGAAGGTAACTGACACCAGGTCTGATGCTATTAGGAGTTCTATATCCATCAAAGTGCAAAAAAACCTGTTTTTGTATGTGTAACCTTTTTTTAAATGTACCTACAGGGATTAAAAGGGGCCAAATCATACTTTATTTATAAACTGACTCTTTATATAGCATCAATATGAGTCATCATGAGACATCCAGCAGTTTACAGAATTGTTCCATTTAAGCCAAAACATGAACAAGCCTTACATCTACAGTCATTATCATATAGATTTTCTGTTGGCTCTTACCTTTCGACTTACTAAGAAGCTTCCTGCCACTGCTAGCCCATGAGTGAAGTTATCAATGCAGTTAGCAAGAAGGTTTAGATAACCGCTGGTCTGAAAAAATAAAGAAATGCTGTATATACACTTTATGTAAGAGACCAGGCAATGATATCACGCTGCTCACAAATGATGCATACAAAACTACAAAGAAAATAGTGCTAGGTATTGACTCCGATATCTCAAATTGATTATCCACAAGCTCTCGTTTCATTGAGTGCTTATTTAGTAAAGCGATTGATAAAAAAAAAAGAACTAAAGAAATAAACTAATGAAAATAAATTAAGCAAACCTGCATATCAAACTTAGTCAAAACAATCAAGCCCAAAGCCAGCTATATACTTCATATTCAAATTTCTAGTAGTTGGACTATGTAATATGGAGAATGATACATTCACTGCTGTTGAGAATCAATATAGAATCAACAGTATTTTTAAAACACCTTTAATAAAAAATTAGGTTTTAATCAAGGAAACGGTGTCAGATTTGAATGTACTTGTCTCCAATGGATTAATAAAGCATGATTTATGCGTTTGTGTGTTACCTTTATTTTCTCTGGCGGTGTGTAAGGGCTGATGTCAGTCTTTGGCTTGGAGTCGGAGTTGTTGTTTGAGCAGATGCCATTCGTTTGCGGGGACACAGAGAACTGGCTGCTCAGATCAGATGAAGAGGACTAGTATGAAAAAGAGAGAGAAAACATCACAATAAGCCAATCTAACAAAATAGAATCCATTTTACCTCATACAAAAGCAAACAAATCAGTGATATTCTGATTAACCTGGAAATCCCCAAAAGTAACCTAATACTTTATTAAATCACACACAATAGCCAAAATTGTCATTAAAATTTAAAACTTTTCCTAATTAATATTCATTACAATCTCCAAAACTATAATAAATTATTGTTAAGAAATTAGAACATCCTTAAGAAATCATATTAGAAGGATTTCTCATGGATCATGTGACACTTAAAACTCTAGTAATGACATTGAAATTTAGAGCATTTTGATTAAAAGAAAAAAAAACAACTTCAAATAGCACTGTGCACTTTTATATTTATATATATATATATACACACACATATACATACATATATATATACACATATACATATATATATATATATATATATATATATATATATATATATATATATATATAGAGAGAGAGAGAGAGAGAGAGAGAGAGAGAGAGAGAGAGAGAGAGAGAGAATAAAATACAAACTAAACAAAACAAAATATTCCATTTCAAATTTAACACACTACACCAGAGATGCCCAAAGTAGGGCTTGCAGGCCAAAGTTGGCCTTTAGTATTCTTTGATTTGGCCCACCCTTCCATCTGAAAAGAGAGGGAGAATGACGGACAGGGTTGGTGCGAATCCTTTGACAGAGTTTGTCAATTTGAATTTAACGTAACCTTTTGTTTCTTTGTTTTATTGCTGAGCTAGTACAAACTGAAATTAAATGATCCAATTAAATGTTGTTAGTGAATCAGACTTTAAAATTTAAGATTTCTGAGAGCAAATCAAGGTAAACGCAGGAGCAGTTATAAATGGGATTATGTTTTACTGTTAAAAATTCATTATTAAATGTTACAAATGACACTGTATTAGTTAATATGATTTAAAGCAGCATTTTCTAGTTATTTTTAAATATTGCAGAATAAGGAAATTACCCATGGCAAATTTAATATGGTGTGTGTATGTGCATATATATATATATATATATATATATATATATATATATATATTAGTAATATATATATATTTTTTATCCCACAGCCCTCAATCAAGTTTGCTCTTTGGCCCCCCTGTACAACACAAATGTTAAAGAAAAGCATTGTGGTGCTGCTCATTTGTCTGCTTCATCATCATCAATGCATAGCTATAAAAACAAAATTTTCAAAAATGTGTAAATATCTGTCTTTGGTTTTAAAACACATCACAGACACTGTGCAGAGATATTAAGCTGTAAATATCCAGAAAAAAAAAAAAAAATTCTAGCAAAACGAAAGCCAGACCAATAACACTCAACTGAGCTCCATCCCTCCATTAGCCAAAAAAATCTAAGCAATTCATGTCATTGAAACGGAATATATTTGTGCTTTTGAACTCAAATCCTTTCCATGTTTTTTTTTTTAGACTGGACACAGCAGAGCATGAAAAAGGACACATTCTCTCCAGTAATAAGAAAAGCAGACACCTCCTCGCGGCTCTAGCCTATGGTCTGTAAGGCCTGTGAGCTGTGGTTTGTGTGCAGCGTGGTTGACTTCTGTGGCCCGTTTGTCTGCTGATGGAATGCTGGTGGCAGCTGCTTCCTGCTACACACTATTTATAGCTACCTAAACAGAGCACAGGCTATCAATCAAACTCCCAGGTCTACCGTAAGCAAAGCAAAAGACTCACAAACAGACTCTCGAGTCATAAAAGTCAAATTAAAAATATAGAATTAGAAGGACAGGAAGAGGCAGGATGAAAACACCACATTCCAAGACACCAAAAAAAAGTGACAGATGATCCATGCAAGAAGAGCTTCAGTGGCACAGCCTATTCTGTACCGACAAAAAAAAAAAAAAAATTCACATAAAAGAATCTAGCAGAGAATAAGAAAAAAATAAAACAAAACACAGAAGTTGAAAAAAATGGACACCTTAAGAACGATGTTTATTTGTCAGTGGGTGTTTATGGGTTGTTGACACAAAGCATGCACTGTCATGTCTACTCTGGCAAAATAGACAAAATGCATTTGGTCCTGCTGAGGAAGCATCTAAGAGAAAACGTACGAAGACCTTAAGCTTCATATCCCTCAGGCTTAAGCCTAGAAAGTGAAACAAGGCATGTGTGTGTTTATACATACTGTATATGTGTGTGTGTGTGTGCGTTTAACTGAAACTGATGCAATACGCTGAAACTAGCCCAAAATAAAGGGGATTGGGGGGTTCTTCTGGAATACCAGGAATGGTGCCTTGGGGTATTTGAATGGGACAGGAATTGTTATGTTTTGACAGTGATTTATGATTCGTGACTCTGCAACATCCCTCTTGCATCAATTATTCAGTCAGGACTCTTCCCTCACTGTGTGTGCTCACCCAAACATCTTAATCTTTAAAATCAACAAGATTAAGCAAGAATTATTAAAACTGGTAAAAATCTTAAATGAATGAGCAATAAGAAACTGAAATTAAAGACTTTCACACTTGGCACACATGTCTGGTAAGAACACAAGTTGAACTGATCCTCCCCTCCACCTGCTGGCCTGTGGTGATGTGGTGGTTTTTGCTTCTGAACCACAGTGTTTACACCAGAATGCCACCGATTCACCATTGTTGCAAGGTAATATACAATAATCTAACAAAAACAGAGTATGTGTCTTTTTGTCAGAAATATAGTGTAAATTAATGTACATTTCTGCAAGCTCACATGTAATAAGCATTATTGTTCTTGCAGCAGATTAGTTACTATAGTCAATTCAGTTTACTCCCCTAAAAACAAAAAAGGTTTTACACCAGGTTGTACTTTGTACTGGACTTTTAGCTCTCGTTTCGAAACAATGCAACAGAATTGAGCCAGGAGACTGTCACAAGACAAAGAACAGAGGTCACAAAGTTCAGTTTAGGCCTACTCAATTTTGACCAAATGTAATTACTGTATTTGCCTTTGTAGGGCAGAATACACATAAATAAACAGTTTAACCAATTCATAAACAGCAGCTAAGTTCTATGATTTAGCAAAACTGTGCTCACAACTGAAATTAGCACAAAGCATGTTTTAATGTTAACTTTTAGCATAAAAAAATTAAAAAAAAGGAAAAAAGGAAAAAAAGCTTGCAAATCTATTCAAACAGATTGCCAGTTTTAAACAAAACCTGATTCGTGTGATTGTGATAGCCCCCTCAGGTTTGGCCAAACATTCAAAGCCCACTGAGCTTTCCCCAGAAACACAACATCAAAGACCAAACCACTACGCTTACAAATATTTACATCACTTTAGGGCATTATGTCCACAAAAAAGTTAGGTCAATGCTCTGTGAAACCATAAGAGCTCTGAAGAAAACAATTTAATAAGCTTATGTCAAATGCAAGTAAACAGGAAAGCTGTTCTCATAGCATCTGCTTGTTAGAGTGTTCACACTGCTGTATGAAATTATGGTGAAATCTATGGACTTTAAGGCTAATGAGCAAACCTAAACATTCATTGGTATTGTTGCTACTTATTTGCTTTCAACATCCAAATATTAGGGAGCAGAAGAAATTCGGACCCACTTCATAATAATCATTTACAACGTCTTGATGGGCTGTAGACCATTGTCATTCAATTTCTTTAGTGCCTCAACAAATCCTATAATGTCGATGAAAGATTATGCACCATCAAAGGCAGAGGAAGATGCTAACCATCGAACAAAAAGTTGGATTCTGGACATGCTAAAGGAAGGTAGAAGTTACGTGATGTTTGAACAAGAGAGATGTAAAAATGTTAATGTCTATCAGAGGAAAAAAAGTGTATAAAGAATGTAGTGAGGGGTTTTACAGCTCTAAAACATGTATAGTAATTGTAAAAGATAAAGCAGACTACTTCGCAGATTTTACTTATTGCAAAATCTTTTTCGAACATAATTCCCACAATTAACAAGGGACCAATACTGGATTTACAATTAACCTCTGTAATTACACTGTTGTTGACTATCCTTTAAACTACTTTTAAATACATCTCCACCCTGGTCCTTAATCACACCCGTTTCCCTAGCAAGCACTAGACAGACTAAAAAGTAGTTAACTTTGCATTTACTAACTGGCATTTTGTCAGTCATTGTGAAAAACAGATCAGACAGTTACTATCTAACACACTACTAATAATTGTGAATAATTCCCATTCAGAAACAGTCAAAATGTAATAATTACAAAACACTGAAGTCTATGTAATGATTGAATAGAATAATTCATCAAACAAAAATTAAATAAATTGAGAGAATTTCACAAAATTAAATTCTTTTGTAAAACTCACTTGATTTAATATACACCAACACTGAATTCTATCTGTACCACATAAGAGTTAAAGATATCCAATATAATATTAAAAATCTTTTTTTGATCATTATACATGTGATGGATCATGTCAAAATGTAAAAACATACAAGCGGCTGATTTGCCAGAGAAGCAACCATCAAACTCACTTCACTGCAAAAGTTGAAATCGTGCAAGTCTTTTACTTGCACTTTAGTAAACTTCACTTATTTCTAACAATTTAATTATAATTAAATTTTAAAGTCATTTTCTCAATTTTAAGTAAATTTTAATGTTTTTGTTATTCTGGGTAAAAAGAAGAGAAAAAGGGAAAAAAGAAAAAACCAATAAAAAAAACTACTTAGAAACAACAAATGTCTTCAAATGATATGCTGCTGAATGCATGGTGTCCTTTGGTGTGTTAATGAATCTTTTTTAATATATATATTATTGATACAAGAATAATACCAAACACTGCATTGAAGAAAACATACAATAACAAAAAAAAGAAGAAGAAAAAAAACAAAACAACTAAAATTTTACATAGCCTCAATCATAAAGAAAATAAAATCAAAAAAACTTTAAGAAACGTATTATTCTTATTATTAATAAGCTTAAGAGATTATTGATTAAAATTTCAGCAAGTATTAAATCCAGGTATTGACTTTATGGAACTTATTTGTGTATGAAAAGAATGTAACAAAAAAATTAACAAGAAGATTGAGAGCATGATCATTGCCTGAGAAATACAGAAATATCTTTTATAGACAAATTTAAATCATATTTAAATAGGGACAATTGTTAATAAATATCCAAGTTGGGGAAAAAAATGGTTCCCATGCCAGACTTCTGTTTGTTTCTTCTGCTTTTAACACCATTCAACCTCACATTTTAATTAAGAGATTGCTGGAACAGTTTGACCTTTGTAATAACTTGGTGGGCTGGATCCTTAATTTTTTAACTAATCGAACACAAATTGTTAGAGTGAATGGATGTCTATCTGATAAAGTTTGCTCCTCAACCAGGTCCTCACAAGGATGTGTTCTTTCACCTTTGTTATACATCCTTTACACAAACATGTGCCAGAGCAGGTGGGAAAATAGAACGATTATCAAGTATGCAGATGACACTGTCATTGTCAGTCAACTCCATGATAATGAAACAGGTCATGGTCCAGTACTCACTGACTTTGTCAGATGGTGTGAGGAGTCATATCTTCAGTTAAATGCTTTAAAGACAAAAGATATGATCATTGATTTTAGGAAGGCTGCTCACACACAGGGGTGCACTTTCATTAAAAATCCGACTGTGGAAAGTGTGCAACCAGAAAAATACCTTGGCACAATTATTGACTCTAAACTTTCCTTTGATGAGAATTGTGCAGCAGTGTGTAAAAAGGGGCACCAGCGACTATTTTGCTTGAGAAAAGTTAAATTATTTCCATATTGATAAACACATGATGACTACTTTATCATGCTTTTCTTGAATCTGTTTTATCCTTTGCTTTGGTGTCATGGTTTAGGAATCTTTCTGTCAAGAATAAAAACTTACAAAATCAAATAGTTAAGTGGTCCAGTAAGCTGACCGGGGTGTCACTAGCCAATCTAGAGGCTGTGTACACTAGGCAGCTAAAGAGAATCACAAATTCAATTTTAAGTGACACTGCTCATCCCCTACACTCAGAGTTTCAGCTTCTTCCTTCCGGTCGCAGGTTTCTAGTATTAAGCTGTAGAACGAAATGATACAAAAATAGTTTTATACCAGCAGCCATTAGACATTTAAATAAGGCATAGACTAAAGCAGAGATGTTTCGGTGACTTGTATATTTTAGATCATTTTAAACATTTACTTGGGGGAGGGGGTGGACACAAAGCGATTATTTATTTATTCTTTATGTTTACGTTTTTATGTCTTAATGTGCATTTGTTGCTGTTACTTTTTGTGGCACTGTTGTGAGATGAGGACTCTTGACTGCAAACCAAATCTACCTTCGGGTATAAATAAAGTAACCTACCTACCTACCTACCAAGTCTGCAGAATCATAACTCATATCATAAACATTGATCTTTGGCTCCCCTATGAGGTTCAGAAATGTAATGATCTACTTTTGTGGAAAGTGTTGGAAAATATCAAAGAAATTAAGCCAATATTTAAATCATGGAATAGACTTATAGGTTAAGTAGATGAACGGTTAAACACAAGGAAATGGGCAATTGCAAAAAAAGGTATGTAGCTTACTGTAGTTCTTTGGAAGGAGGTTTTGGTTTCTGGATCACCGACTTCATCAGGAAACATCTTCTCCAAGGTCAGAAAAGACATCAGACCTCCTATCACCCACAAACCTTGCGTACAATAATGTCTGTGGGAGCCACCTGCCCAGCATAAGCAAACAAGAAGAGAATACAGCATTTTGCTTAGAATATGAATAAATAAACAACTAGTCACTGACTAGAAGTGTTACTGTTGACTAAAACAGTTGATGTTAATCTAGTCAAAATATTAAGAAATATTAGAAGTAAAATCTAAACCAAAATCTGAAATGTTGGCTTGAAAATTGTTCAATTTAAGATACAATTCTAATCATAACAAAACAAACTGAAGCAAACAAAGAAATCCTCACATGAACAAGCTTTTGTTTTTTCTATTAGTGATCTGTTTTATGACATCTTTACAACTACTGGGGTCACAGAAAGGATAATACAAAAAACAAACCAAAAGAAGACAGAAACACAGCTAATACTGAGAATGAAAAGGAGCATGCAGGTGATGAATAATGCATGCCAACGTTATTTAAATATAACGTGAGAATTCTCACCAGGACTGGAAGTGTAAGCCCAGGCCTCCGGAAGGAGGTGAAGAAACACGTCTCCTAGAAGGCCACCAATGGCAAAACTCAGCAGCTTCTTCAGCTTCTGACACCCAGCTGCAAACAGTGCAAGAACATCAGTGCAAAGACATAAACATGAGCAGAATTTGAAACACTTCAAACATCTTGCTGAATTTGAGGCTTGCTTTACAACTCCTTAAAACAAAAAACAGTTGAGTTTCACCTTTTTTTGGATCAATTTAGCCAATCTCTGGGTCTGGTGGGAGCACTTTTAGCTTAGCATAGATCATTCAATCGGATTAGACTATAAGCAACTTGCTCAAAAATACAGAAGCAAAAATATTATGTATGACCTGAAAATCAGCTAAATTTCATCAATAACCATAGTAACACCCTGTGTGCACATGGAGTGCATGAAAATGAGTATAGTTTCTAGCCATGTCAGCTTAAAAAATAGCAACTTATTGGTCTTAGTACACGATGTGACTACAAAAAAATTTAAGCATTAAATAGGGAACTTATCAAAACACTTTAAAAGGGCACCTATTTTACTCCTTTTACAAGACGTAAAATAAGAGTTTGGTATGTATAGAATTATATTATGTATTGCAGAATTTTCCCATTTCGGTGTCTGAGGACAATGCAGCTGTTTTTGTAGCCTGTAGCTTTAAATACAAATGAGCTGCTTCTCCCCGCCCACCATCTGACGCGAGTGTCTACTTCCGAAATAAGGTCACTAGTCAAAAATACCATGCAAGTTTATTTAATGTATTTGTGGTGCAGTCTATTCAAGCCTTTCTGAAATGAGGAGTCTTACATAAATGCCGTTTGCAGTGCACACACACTAAAGGCAGATTTATACTTCTTTGTCAAGCGCACGCATATGCTACGGCGCAGTTTATGCGTAAAGGCATCACTGACATGCACTATTCAAAAAAAAAAAATGTAACTACATGTCTCAACAAAGCATAGCGCAAGCTCTGTGATTGGTTGGCTTGGTAGCACTGACAAGTGTGGGTGGGGGTGAGAGCCAGTGAAGTGTTGTTTTGCGTTTACCTTATGATTAAAGTTGTGGCATGTTCGTCGATTCCAGCCTCAAAATGAGCAAGTTTGAGCTACTTGTACGTTAAACTACCGTTCAAAAAAAACAAAGCACCAGAGAAGAAACTCGACACAGAGGAACAAACACCTACTGCCAGCTAGAGTTTCGGAAGTGTTATTGCAGAGCAACAGAAACAGCGCACAGAAATATAAATGCTCGGCTACGCGCACTGCATGTGGCAGGGGTCATGCTGATCACTTGATGCAGAAGTACAAACCAGGCTTAACACATATGCGCATTTACGGACACCATGTGGCCGTGGTAATTCTAGTGGTTAAGACTTTAATTTATTACAACATGCAGTTTTAAAAACATTTTTAACTAATTAAATGAATTATTAAGGAGCAGTTCATCAAAGTTGTAACAAGTGTTTTAAAACACCCTTTTTTCTGCAAGAAATGTTCTGTGGACGTGTGTATACATGTCACTTAAAGACATGGCACCTGTCAATAAATTCAGCAGGTGGGGAAAACCACACTCTTACTTCACGTTGCAGTGGGGATTGGGATTTGGATCCTATTTTAACATCATTAAATTTATTTATTTATTTTTTTTTTTAAAGAGACTTGGAGTGTGTTTCCATCAGTGGATACACAATACCTACACACAGTTCTGTCCAAACAGCTTGCAAAAGTTGATTTTGGATCATAGGTGCTCTTTAATCATGTTTGAGTGAGATGCTAATTGTCTAATCTGATGATATTAAGCTAAAACAGCTCCAGTCAAACCCAAAGATCAGCTCAATGGATTAAAAAAAATAGTAAAACTCAACTGTTTAATTCTAGGAGAGTTAAGTATTGCTTCAAGAAGTTGCATAGCTCTTTCACATAAAGCAGCTGGAGAAAAAGTTGCACAACAACAGTCGCACATATCTTTAATGATCATTTTGAGTTTCATTCAGCTTAAGTTTTAAAGCTGCACAGCTCTATTATGCTAGTTTCTCAGCCACTAAGAGTTTGCAGCAATAGAACAAGCTTAAAATATCTAACACCATTATTCACAAGCTTTGAAAGTCATGTGGAGAGTCTGTGGTGGAGGACACACCTAAATTGCTTATAATTCCATATAACCCTCTAGTCTCCTGCCCACTGGTGTGGGTCAGAACGGACCTTCCCTTAAGCCCGTCTACTTCCTGACTGAGATCTACAGCCAGACTATTTCTGCATGACTGATATCATCACAGACAAAGCTTTCACTGAGCAGCACTGCCTCTGCAAAAGTCTTTAGAGAGCGATCGGTCAACCATAAATAAATGTTCCTGCACACTTTTTCGGGGTTTCCTATTATGGTTCTGCTGGATCCTCATGAAAGTCCAATACATCAAGAATTATTTGGACAAGTCATGACAGGTGTAGCTGAAGATGTGATTGCTCAACAGATTCTTTCATAGGTCAAGCATGCTTGCATTTTTTCCTCAGTGATTCTTGGATCTTCTGCAAGATTATATAATATGATGAATACAGTGGTTATAAAATGTGTATGTTTATTCATCATTCTGGTCAAACAAGTTTTATTGCATATCGAAGAGGAAAGTGCAGTCAACAAAAATGTAGCATTTTTCTCCTATCAAAAACAAAACTGTAAGTTAATCTAGCATTGTAATTAACTGTACAGCACCAACACAACTAAGACTTTTTCTGCAGAGCAAAGTGACCTGTATTTTAGGTCCTTACAGCTAGTCATGGAGTAAACTATAAACGAAATACTAGCTTAGGTTTAACATTGTTAGCTGCATAGCATTTCTGTAATCCTGCCAATGTGGTCAAAAAAAAAAATCAACTAATAGTCAATTAACTCAAAAGAACAAGTATTTCATATCATAGTTGTTCTTGTTTTAAGCATGAACTGACCTCAGCTTCTTGGTAAACAAGACTTAATTTCATTTTGTATCGCAAGTATTCAAGAATCTAGACTTAAGGATGTCAAAATATTTGAAAAGAAAAAAAAATCAAGGCAAATATTTTTAGGTGAATGCATTAGTAAGTTCTAGGAATTTTAGACTTTCTGCGCTGATTTAATACATTTTAATACATTTTATGAGGCTCTGGTGCTGAACGGCCTTTTCCTATGGATGCTGCTAATGCATAGTGGAAAATGTAGTACATTTATTATTTAGAATATATTTATATATTAAGTGTTGCAAGTTATTATAAAATAACAAATAAATACTTTTAAATGCCTTATTAGAGGCATTTTACTGTGGCTTAGGGATCATTTTAATGTGGTAAAACACACAAAAGATTTCGGAACAAATCAAAAGCAACGAAAAGAAAATTCCCATAGAGAAAGAGAAGCTTGAGGAAAAATGAGGAAGCATCTCATTCGCCATGCCTTACAGTAACCAGACTGTGTGAAACCCCACAATAATCTACAAGCTTGTTCTCTATTGCTTGTATTAATAACAAACACATGTCCGTTTGTCATTCTAGGCCTCATGCATGACCATAGCCTCTCAACAGTCACCTCATTATTTACTTTTCCTCATAAATTGACCTAAACAGGATCAGAAAAGTTAATAAAAGACAAAATAATAAATAATACAGTAAAAATAAAAAAATAAAAGAATGCCCATTAGAGCACTATCTGCACCAGCTCTGACTGTAACACAATGCTACTTCTACCTGACCTGGTTACTATTGTAACCTGATCTTAAATTAGCAGGTATAAAGAGCTGGATACAAACACAGGCTTTGAAAACAAACAATGTGACTTACCCTCAGTTTTCAAGGCGGTCCCAGCTTCAATGGGTATGACTAAAAGTGGAAAAATGCCACTGAGTCCAATGGCAATTGATCCCACAAGGGAGCAGAACCAAACATCTAGGTTGTCAATGGACATGAGCTCATCCAGGTATTGGAGGTCTACAAGGTCCTTGATGCTCCATGGTCCAGGTCCTGCAGGTGCAGTCTTTGCCTGGGCCACAGCTGTCTGAATCATCATCTTCCCTCCAAAGGATGATGCCAGCAGGGCAGCGCCAAGCAGCAGCACAGCAAATGCCCAAACGGGCCTCTCTGGTCCTGCGCTCATCAGCCCAGACCTCCGCAAAGCACTTGGAAGATACATGGATGCTGTAGAGCAGAAATAAGCCTTAAAACTAAATTTCATGAGGTGGAAAGATTAGCTGAGCTTTAGTTAGGTTCAGTTTATGTTAGTTCCTGGTGAAATAAAAACTATGTAACGTGAAGTCTGGAATATCAGTGATATCAAACTTCACAAGCACCAGATTTGGTGTTTGAGAACCTTGATATAAAATGTAACAATTTTAACTAAAGCAGAAACAGATGTTTTATCCTGTATACTGTTCTGTGTCGAAGTGTTTTATTTTATTTTTTTATTAATCAATAAAAGACTATTGCAATAAAAAATACATTTCTAATAAAAGGGTGCTCTATTCAAAAACAATATTTTATTAAATAAATTAGTTTAACAATTTATACAAAGCGAATTAAAGCTGCTATTTTTAGTATTAAAATATTAATAGTTTATATTTATTATTATAAATGTCTTGTGACACTGACAGTTGGAGTAATGGCTGCCAGATTTCAGCTTTGCCATTACAGAAGTAAATTTATTTTCCCAAAAAAAAAAAAAAAAAAAAAAAGAGAACATTGCAGCCATGTGACTAATTGGCTACCTCCATTATGCTTGCCTTGTTTATTGTTAGTCACTAGGAAACCAATACTACAGTCAACCACTCCAACAACTTTATGGAGATGTATCTAATTCATATTTAGATTTTTTTCTTTGTTGCAAACTTTGAAAAGATTCATTTTATGTTAGAATGGACATATGGCTGTTTTCACAACATTCTTCAGAAGAACTTGTGTTCAACAGAAGACATAAATTGATAAAAGTTGATGGAGTAATTACTTGACTGAATAAACCTGAGGGATTTCAGAACTATCCCTTTATTAACACTCACAAACAAAAATATCTAAAAATACAGAAAAATTATGTGGAGCGAACCTAAAAACCATCTTCAATCAAAGGCACCTAATTTTTTTTACAGAGCTTTTTGCAGAGATCTCATGACAAAATAGCCCTGGCTTGGCCTACAAATTGACAGGTTTAGATATGGTGACTAAGTGCTTCCACCTCAACCCACAAACAACACAAAAAAGTAGATAAAACAGACCACGTGAGTCCCACAACCTAGTACAAAAAAAAAACACCTTTTAGGTATAGTAATTCACCCTACATTAGACCTAAACCATGGGTTAATAATGAACATGGAAATGATAGTAAAGCATGATAGAAGGCAATGCATTAGAGGCAGACCTAACCATTTTTAAAAGATAAATCATCCAGTAACCAAGAAGTTAGTTCAGTCCTCTTCTGATGTTTGTACAATGGCTATTTAATCTGCACTTGCTGCACGTGTAACAATCATGTAAAAAAAAACATACATACAAACAATACGGTTTAGTTCAACCGTACTGATTTCCAGTAATAGTGCCCGTTATGTCTGGACTAAAATGCTGCACAATCAGTAACATTAGAGAGGAGCAGCTGCACGTTGCTGCGGTGGACGTGCACGTAGGAGAGTTGAGGGAGCGTCGAGATTCCCGACAAATTCCAGCCCGCTGGGCTTTAAAACACTTCGTTTCGCTTCGCCTCAGGGTTTCGATTCGTTTAACTAAATCAAGACGGACAGGAGGCCCGAATTCACAAACGATAACGTTAGTATTTTATGTTATGTACAGTGCAAGGATTGGATATCCAGCAAATTTTCACAAAACACAAAGTTCCAGCAATAATAGTGATTCCGATAAAAACAACACGCGCACAAACTAGCTCAATACAAAGTTGCGTCCCTTGACAAACAATCACCGCCAAGTAGATGTACAAAGCTGTATAATCTCATGTGTTTGTCTTACCCTGCTGTAATTCCTGCAGTTTTCTCTCCGGCTAGACCCTGCCATCCAGGCGCTGCTACTGCTGCTGTTGAGCTGGAGCTCTGTCTGCAGCACAGGCTGATTTCACTCCTCGAAGATTTTCCAGTCAGCCACGTCTCACCGACCGGAAGTGCTTTTCCAGAGCGAACTGAGCGCGCGCGACCGGAGGAGGAGGAGAGTCAGCGCCAAGCAAGTGGAGAACGTGCTAGAAGAGGATGATAGCTGAACCCGTATTAACGACAAAAAGTTAAAAACCCATTACAAAATGTCTCTGTCGGTCTGTCTCCTAAATATATTATCGATTTTCGAAAGTAAACCGTAAAACTAGCCCTAATGCTTTTTTAATTTGTCAACTTTAAGAGAGTGCATTGCCAAATTTGATCACGCCAATCTCACAATTCAAGAAGTCTCTCCAGATTTCTAAAACTGTGATTAAAACTTCGTTTCAAGAGCTGCCAAAGTCATTAAGGTAATTATAATAATAACAACTGAAATAATGAAAGAAAATAAGCAAATGAAAGTATGAAATAATGAAAGTTATTTTTAGTATTAACAATAATAATGGCTGCCAAACGCCATCAGCTTTCTTACATTACAGAAGTCAATTGCTTTTCAAAATATAATCAACAGCCCATATTTTAACCTGTAAGGCACAAACGAAAAATAAGACATTTTAAAGAATGCCATCATCATTTTCCTGCTTGGAATGATCTACTTCTTAAAAGCAGAAATATGAAGGTAGGAACAACTTGAAGTTAAAAGAGATCATAAAAACTTTAATTTGCGATCCTGAGGTCAGAGTGGTCAATAAAAGAGCAGTGTTGTGTCGTCATCAGAGCTTGTGCAGCCGCTTTGGGGAAACTACATGTGTTACTGGCTGATGATCATCCTGCATACAATGCTAAAAGTTCAGAATAAATTATTAATATAATGAAAATATCGATACTTTTTTGGAAAATATTGATACTAGGTTAGTAGCAGCATTGATTAGGTCTATAACATTAGTTGCATTATTACAGCATGTGTGATTATAGCAGGTACATTTGGTGTCCAAAGCCATCTTTTTTCTTTTAATTAAAAAGGTTATATTTGTTAGTATTTATAAAACACCTCACTTATTTGTATAAATCACAAGATTTTACATGCAATAACAATACTGCATTGTCTGTAAAAGTGTCTCACATGACTACACATCATGATTTCTTGATGTGCAAATTTGTCAGTGTTTTTCCAACATGTAACAATGTGCAACCAATATATTTTAATTTAGTTTTTTTTTTTTGGCGATATTTATTCTAATATAATTATAGCTCTATAAATGGTCATTTTTATAATTTGACCAGATTAAACTGTTTAAAAATAAGCTTTATCTGATACAAATATGGATTCATAAATGTTGCATCTATTCTGTAACCATATACCAATTGCCTCTTAATTGGTGGTATTATCTCCGACCACAACCATAAAAACAGATAATGATGTCACTTTCCCTCACAAGTTAAGATACATGGTGAAGCACTGAAAGGTGTGTGTGCTCTCTCTGAGAAAGTGCTTTATTTAAAAAAAAAAAAAAGTTATTTTGTACACTGTCAATACTGTCACCTTTACAATTTTAAAAGGAAAATAGAATTTCATTGATCCCACATTGGAGAATTCAAAGATATTTTAATCCTGATTTCATTAGTAGCATGTGAGCATTTATGCTAACTAGTGGACTTCTTTTTGGATAAAAAGTTCTAAAATTGTCATTCCTGTTACTGTCAATACTGTAAACTGTTTACTGTTTATACTGTAAATTCTGTTGCATTTATGAAATGGGCAACAGTGTTGACAATGTAACAGAATTGACAATCGTGAATGTGTGAGATTCAGTTTGTGTTTCTCTTTGTGTGTCTGTAATCACAGGCGAAATGTCATCTTAGTTTTAAGTGTTGAAATATGAGGACTGTTTATCTAATACATAGATGCCCAAACTAGGGTGCACTGACAAAAGTTGGCCCATGATAACCTTTGATTTGGCCCACCATCCCATTTGAGAAGAGAATGAGAATGAGAATGATGGGGATGGTTTAGAGACTCAATTCAAATTTAATGTGACCTTTTATTTGTTTTAATTTATTGTTAATACAAAAACCGGCTAACTCAAATTAAATGTTTTAATTTAAATGCTGTAATTTACATTATAATGTACATACTCTAACCCGACAGATAGAAGAGAATGTAGAGGGTTGGGGGAGCAAATCAAGGCAAAGGCAGGTTCTGCTATAGTGTATTCGGCACTGAACTCCCCTGTGTTATAAATGTGAATGTTTATGTTTTTATTGCATTAAGTTGTAACTAAAAAGTTATAATGCATTAGTTAATATAATTTAAAGTGATGGTTTCAATTTATTTTTAAATATTTTAAAATAAATAAGGAAATGAGCCATGGCAACTTTAAATAGTCAAAAATGGTTTGGTATATTTATCTTCGGCCCACGGCTCTTAATGACGTTTGGTTTTTTGGCTGTTCATACAAACAAATTTGAACACCCCTGATCTAATCGAACACCAAGGGATTTATCTTGCTATGACTTAATGTTATTTCTGCACAATAATAATTTGAGAGTTGACAAACAATACTATAAATAAATAAGTTTTCCCCTAAAAGTAAGTAAATTAAATAATTTGTGTCTGACAAGCACTGAATTATTATAATTAAATATTTTTTTCAATAAGATCCTGAAGAGAATTGCTGTTTAAAAAAGTTCCTTTCCTTAACTTTTTGAAACAACAAATAGGATCACCCATCTACACTTTGTGGGCTAGTTTAGGCTCCCCTGCCATACCAAATTAGTTTCTTTTGTAGAAGACATTTTGAAGTACACTTTAATTCAAACATCTCACATCTTTTCTAATACCAGGGCAATCAAATGGTGATATAATTCAATTTTTTGGTTAAAAATCACTCTTGTCCACAAGATGGCGCATTTGATTGATGTTTATTTTCTAAAAACCAAATCTCGTATTTCCTTGAGTAAGTACTTATTTCAAACAAACAATTACTTCGCAACCACTAAAAGAAAAAATAATATGACTGTGGTATGAATGTAACCTGGGTATAGTATTCATCATCCTAAAACTTTTTAAATATAAATTAAGATCATTTTGACACTGTTTTTCACTAATTATTCATTCACTGGTTTTCTTTTTGGTTTAGTCCCTTTATTAATCTGGGGTCGCCACAGCAGAATCACCCCCAACTTATCCAGCATATATTTTACGCAGCAGATGCCCTTCCAGCTGCAACCCAGCACTGGGAATTACCCATATATTCTCAAACTCACACTAATACACTACGACCAGTTTAGTTTATTCAATTCCCCTATAGCCTACTCGCATGTCTTTGGACTGTGGGGGAAACTGGAGCATCCAGAGGAAACCCACGCAAACACGGGGAGAACATGCAAACTCCACACAGAAACTGCAACTTGCACAGTCAGGACTCAAAAAAATCAACCGTCTGGCTGTGAGTGCTAACCACTGAGCCTCCATGTCACCCCTTCACCAATTATATAGTAGGGAATTTTATGATTTGAGATGCAGCTGAAATATATGTACTAGAACTACACCATACGTGTTTTTTTTTCTAGTCCAGTCCTAAGATTCAAAGTCCTGCTCAGCATTAAAAGCTAGAATGAGACAAGAAATTTATAGATTTAATAAAAATCTTTGTATTAACTCACTTTCTGTCAATTCTGTGTAGGTGAACACCACTTGTGGTTGCACAACTGATCAGGCTGAATAAAGGACAAGAAACAATTAATAACTATCTTGGATCCTTCAAATGGAGACATCACTTTGACACAGAGATTCGTCACATAGCAGCCCAAATGCAGCCTCACTGGTAATGGAATTTTGAGATTCTACAAATTGTCATTTTAATGTTGTCTCTTCATCATGCATGCAGTAGTGGAAACATTACAGTCCTCATTCTAGCAGGACTAGCATTCTTAGCAGGGCTAGTCTTGAAGCCTCAGAGGACCTACACTAGGAAGTATATGCATACTGACTTCACACTTTTATTTGAGATCTCATTTGCTTTAAAAAAACACAAAAAAACATGCAAAATTAAATGATAAAGAACCAATTTTTCTGCCACACGTAATAGGACAACATTCTAAAAACATGCAGTATAGGTGAATTGGATGAACTAAAACACGGGTGTCAAACTCAGTTTCTGGAGGGCCAATGCTCTGCACAGTTTAGTTCCAACCCTAATTAAACACATCTGATCAAACTAATTGAGTGCTTTATGCCTGTTTGATACCTACAGGTGTTACAGCAGGGCTGGAACCAAACTCTGCAGGGCTGAGTTAGGCAACTCTGAAATAAATTGACCATAGTGTAAATTGACCATAGTGTATGAGTGTGTGTGAATGTGAGAGTGTATGGGTGTTTCCCAGTACTGGGTTGAGGCTAAAAGGGCATACACTACATAAAACATATGCCAGAATAGTTGACAGTTCATATAATAATAATAATAATATAACATATTATAAGGGACTAAGCTAAAAAAAGATGAAAGGAAATTAATAATAATTGCTGAAAAAAAAAAAAACAGAACAGTTAATAATAAAAGCAGGCATTTACCCAAAAATGTAAAGTAATGTAATGTAATGTGTATTTATATAGCACATTTATTGTGTATGGCCATACACCCAAAGCGCTTCACAATCATAAGGGGGGTCTCTCCACACCACCACCAGTGTGCAGCATCCACTTGGATGATGCGACAGCTGCCACAGGACAACGGTGCCAGTGCGCTCACCACACACCAGCTATTGGTGGAGTGGAGAGACAGTGATAGAGCCAATTCGGTGGATGGGGATGATTGGGAGGCCATGATCATAAGGGCTGATAGAGGGACTTTGGCCTGGACACAAGGGTTACACCCCTGCTCTTTCACGAGAAGTGCCATGGGATTTTTAATGACCACAGAGAGTCAGGACCTCGGTTTAACGTCTCATCCGAAAGACAGATGTCAAAAAGCATGTTACTTTTTTGGGATCAAAATAACTATATACAAACCCATATTTAATTATGTATAAATTAATGGCCTAGCAAAAAAAAAAAATAATAATAAAAAAATAATCAC